TTGGCTGCCGCCGACCTGGCTTTGCCTGTCAGCAGAGCAGCGACTCAAAGTATGGGCCTCTCACATGCAGGAGTGGTTTCGACAGCATGGGGTGCTTTTAAAAGACCAGCCAGGCCAGACTCTTGAGCCAAACATTACAGAACCACTAGGGGAGGACCTACAAATTCGTATGTCAATGAAAGAGTCACGAAAATAAGCGCCTACAGAGAGAGACTCCACTAGAGGGCGAGTTCATTAATTGACCCCAACTTAAACCCAGTTTATGCATCCAAGACTTTAGAGATTTCTGGGCAATGTGCTAGACTTGCTTAATGTTAGTGACTGTTTACTTGACTGTTCTGTTGGGTTATACATTATTTAAATCAAATAAACGGATCAAGTGATCTTTCACCTGCCTTCATTAATTTCGAAAAATCTAAAATTTTCTAAACCCAAATTTGAGCTGAAGGTTGAAATTTTCTGTGTGGATCATAAAACACGTAGTTAATAATTGTTCGACAACTTTTTTGGGGGAGAAAAACAAAACTCGCCCCTGTTTCCTAAGTGACTCAAAAGAGAACTCCTGAAAAAATCCGTTTTTGTGTCATCACACGGTCACTACATATATGTAAAGTCCTAGAAATACGAGAGCATCCGCCTTCGACCTCCCAAAGGTTATGATTTCCTGACTACAGTCAACTTTTATGTTAGGCGAGTGAACGATGGATAGAAAGAACGAACGTAACTATATTCAGGGTTTCGAAATCGGTTTTCTCAATTTTATTTCTTAAAGGCACGGGTCGCGATCAGATCTTCAGCAAATTTTCTCTGTGAGTGAAGTAAACGGGTTCCTGAACATAGCGGATATGACAGTGTCTCGACTCAAAGGTGCACCGAAAGAACACTATTGCCTCCCTTTGATCACTGCAATCACTGCTGCAGTACGTGGTTGCTGTGCTACACCACATGCTCCGTCGCGTTGTCTTCTTACGCAGCGCTGGCGTCCCTCCGACGTAATACGGTCTAGCTCACAATGGAGGACCCTAATTTTACTTCTTTAAAGGTCCTTTTCTCAGTGACAATCACCCTTTTGCTCGTATATTTTCGAGCGAAATGAAGCACCAGTTCGATCGCGACCTATGCCTTTGAAGACCATTTCTGCTTCAAATTCAACTGTTTTTGTACAAAGTTTTTTTCTACTTTTTTAAGAAATGTCTTTTAATTTGGGTGCTTCTTACTGAGCTTCTGGTTCCGCAAACTTCTTGCTCAACCCTGACAGGCACCTTCCGAGCCGTGCCCAGTATCACTTGAGAGACGCTAATCCCTGTTTGTATTGCACTTGAACTTTGAATTTTACTCATTCAATTTGCGTACATTCGTAATAGCATAGTGCAACTGCATCGTATTCGGCCAGTCAAAAAAAAAACATGGCCGAATACGATGCAGTTGCACTATGCTATTACGAATGTACGCAAATTGAATGAGTAAAATTCAAAGTTCAAGTGCAATACAAACAGGGATTAGCGTCTCTCAAGTGATACTGGGCACGGCTCGGAAGGTGCCTGTCAGGGTTGAGCAAGAAGTTTGCGGAGCCAGAAGCTCAGTAAGAAGCACCCAAATTAAAAGGCATTTCTTAAATAAGTAGAAAAAAACTTTGTACAAAAACAGTTGGATTTGAAGCAGAAATGGATCTTCAAAGGCATGGGTCGCGATCGAACTGGTGCGTCATTTCGCTCGAAAATATAGGTGCAAAATGGATTGTCACTGAGAAAAAAAGGACCCTTAAAGAAGTAAAATTAGGGTCCTCCATAGTGAGTCGACCGTATTACGTCGGAGGGACGCAGCGCTGCGTAAGAAGACAACGCGACGGAGCATGTGGTGTAGCACAGCAACCACGTACTGCGGCAGTGATTGCAGTGATCAAAGGGAGGCAATAGTGTTCTTTCGGTGCACCTTTGAGTCGAGACACTGTCGTACCCGCTATGTTCAGGAACCCGTTTACTTCACTCACATAGAAAATTTGCTGAAGATCTGATCGCGACCCGTGCCTTTAAGAAATAAAATTGAGAAGACCGATTTCGAAACCCGAATATAGTTACGTTCGTTCTTTCTATCCATCGTTCACTCGCCTAACATAAAAGTGACTGTAGTCAGGAAATCATAACCTTTGGGAGGTCGAAGGCGGATGCTCTCGTATTTCTAGGACTTTACATACAGTAGTGGCCAGAAATTTATGAACAAACGGTTTTTTCATGATTTCTCTTTTGAAAGTCACTGGAACGTCTCCAAATTTGCAACAATTATTAACTACGTGTTTTATGATCCACACAGAAAATTTCAACCTTCAGCTCAAATTTGGGTTTAGAAAATTTTAGATTTTTCGAAATTAATGAAGGCAGGTGAAAGATCACTTGATCCGTTTATTTGATTTAAATAATGTATAACCCAACAGAACAGTCAAGTAAACAGTCACTAACATTAAGCAAGTCTAGCACATTGCCCAGAACTCTCTAAAGTATTGGATACATAAACTGGATTTGAATGCGGGGTCAACTAATGAACTCACTCTCTAGTGGGGTCTCTCTCTGTAGTCCCGTCTTTTCGTGGCTCTTTCATTGACATACGAATTTGTAGGTCCTCCCCTAGTGGTTCTGTAATGTTTGGCTCAAGAGTCTGGCCTGGCTGGTCTTTAAAAGCACCCCATGCTGTCGAAACCACTCCTGCATGTGAGAGGCCCGATGCTTTGAGTCGCTGCTCTGCCGACAGACAAAGTCAGGTCGTGCGGCAGCCACGCCTACGGATACATGACACCTTCCAAAACATGACAGCAAACGTCTGCCTTCATCGCTACCTCAGTCGTGTAGCGTGGTCCCACTTTTTTCCAAGGCAACCTTATCAAGCCTCCGCCAAGTTTCACAATTGGCAGCTGATTCTTTGGATCAAAACGTTCCCTCTCGTGGTGCCGTACATTACTAGTATCCTTGCTGTCATGCATCAGTAATATGTTTTTGTCATTCCAGATGACCTTAGAAACCTGTATCAACCTTCGTTTCAGGCTTAGTCAATCACATTCTACTCCCACCCACTTCACAGCGAGCGCTCTTCTTAGACTTTGAGAACTAAGGAATACGTAGTATAGACTTAGATTCTAGAAGATGTTATGTATCCGTAGACATGGCTGCCACACGACCTGGCTTTGTCTGTCAGCAGAGCAGCGACTCAAAGCATCGGGCCTCTCACATGCAGGAGTGGTTTCGACAGCATTGGGTGCATTAAAAGACCATCCAGGCCAGACTCTCGAGCCAAACATTACAGAACCGAGGACCCGAAAATTCGTATGTCGATAAAAGAGCCACGAAAAGATGGGACTACAGAGAGATACCCCACTAAGGAGCGAGTACATTAGTTCACCCCGCATT